ATATATATATATATATATATATATATATATATATATATATATATATACGTGTGTGTGTGTGTGTGTGATTTTTAGCTAAGGTGAAATCAGTGTTACAGCCCTGAAAAGTGTAGGTTACAACCTCGATCTCTCTGAGCTACAGGCTTGTATGTGTGTGTCTGGGTGCTTAATCTATCTGGCGTAATCATTTACAGATGTTCTCTCTGTGTGCTGTGTATCTGAGAATAGAGCTAAGCTGTGGGTTTTTCTCAGAAAAGAAAAGTGCTGAAGAGGCAGATGTAAAAGAACGTGTTTAAATGTTTAAAAATCATAATGATTTTAAAATGAACGTGTTTCCATGTTTGAAAATCATATAATGATTTTAAAATGAATAACTAATAGAAAAAGTGTTTGTATGTGATCAAAAAACTTATGATTAAGTTGAATATTAACTGTGTTTGACTGAAATGAATAGAGTGATTCCTAACAGATGAACAGTAGTGACTCTGTCCTGGGTAAAAACAGGGCGGTGACGCTTAGAACGGAATGCTCCAGAAGTTAGTAAAGAAACACCCTCCATACATATGTCTGTTAGGACCAAATGTTCCCAAAAGTTAGTAAATATGACAGCCAGAATAACCAATCATAGGCTTACAGCAGAGGGCTACACCCGAAGAGGCAAGACCAGGCTGGAACAAGTTTAGACTCGTCTGGGCTGGTTTGGACTTGTCTGGGTTGTGCTTTAAATACAGCTCTTTCTCACTGTTCTAGGTTGAATAGTTCTGGGAGCTGGAGGGACAAAGGACGGTATTGAAACTGCTCTTAGCTGCTGGAGAAGATTTGGACAATTCGAAAAAGACTCCTTTTCAGTCAAGATAGGAGCATTCTTTTTGTTTCAGCCCGGATTAAAGCCAAACCAAAATCTTCTTCAAAATCAAGACAGCTTTTTGGGCATGGGGCACACTTTCCCAGGGATCTGGAAGGGGATTTCACTTGCCTTTAACCAAAGATTTCTTCAGACAAAGGAGACTGAGAAATACGGTAAGGGATGCTCTAATTTTCCGTTCCTTTACAAATTTTATACAAAATAATAGCGACAGCTCAAACCAACCATTATGGGAATCAGATTAATTTAATTAATGTTTTTGGTCCTCTGTTCATGAATGCCAAACAGTGGAACAGGTTTTACAAAGACAAATAACAGTTTGGAGGGATTTCTTGTAAGTTGACCAGGGAGTTTTAAAGTTCTTTGGGGTTTCAACATGCTGGGACTCTGGGCGTCACCCATTTAGATGAGAGGAAGGCTTTCCTCCATTAGCTCATAAGAGCTTTATGGACTCCTAACTCCCTATCACAGTTCATCGGAGCAAGGAAATCATCGCATTAGTTGGACTTCCAATCCTTCGGACATCAAAACCAATTAACAAGAACCTCCCCCAAGCAATGTATGGACTCTTTATTACTGATTCCACTAAATAACCAAATGTAATCATTTTTGGATTGTGCATTAACTCTGTTCCCTTACAAATTATTAATTAAAGAAAAGCATAAAATGTAAAAATCTGGACTATCATTTCACCACCTCGTGTACATGTATTTAAGAAGCTTGGTTCAATTCTAACAATTTAGAGAAGTGTTTAATAGTTAATCAGCTGTGAGTATTAAGATAACATCCTGGAATCCTATTCTTGGATTCTATAAAGAACCAAATCAGTAAGAATTGCCATTCTACAATTAAGGTGAATGTGCGTTCCCCTATGGATGACGATCCAACTCCGGCTGCTAGATTGGGCGAGTCACGGGGTGAGATAAGGGTGTGGCTCACAGATGGAGGTCGTTAACAAATCTGGGTGAGTCACCTTCTACACAGCCTAATTACAGTCATGTGTAAATAGTGAGTATAGGAGTTGACTGAGAACACAGCCCTGAGGTGTGCCGGTGCTGAGGACTAGTGTGGAGGAGAAGTGACAGCCAATTCTCACTGCCTATGGTCTATTGGTGAGGAAGTTCAGTATCTAGCAGCAGATGGACTTCTCCAGGCCCAATGTAGTGAGCTTGGAGACCAGTTTAAAGGGGATTATGGTGTTGAATGCTGAGCTGTAGTCAATGAAGAGCATTTTCACATAGGTATTAGCCTTCTCCAGATGGCTGAGGGAGGTGTGAACTGCTAAAGCAATCATCTCCAGGTCAGCGGCCACTCCTTCAGGGATGAAGATGCTCACATCCTGGATAGAGAGGAATGATGGTTTGTGAGAGGAGTAAAGGAGGCCATCTTTGAGAAAAGAAACCATCCATCATTAAACAGGGTTAGAGGCCTCCGTGTTCAACTGTCCCCCTCTTACAGTGTTGTTATTGCTAGTTCACTCAGCCTCCTGTGAATAGTAAACAGCCATCAGGGTGCTAACGATCCATCATTAGGCTGATGGTCCTCCTTAATCATGTGAGCAGCTGGTTTTGGTTGTCAGCAGCAAACTGGTTGATCCACTCTGAGAAGGTTCTATTTATTGTTGTAAGAGCGGGCAACCCAGTTGTAACGAGAACCAGAATGACACAAGACTCTGGCTACAAAAAGTGATGTTTAGGGAAATATATACAATATGTACAGGACCCTGGAACTGGAACTCCTGGAAGAGGGGAAATAGTTTCTCAGGTCTGGAGCAGGTAAGTGACACAGGAGAATAGGATTTGATATTGCTGTTTCTGTCTTACAGCTTCCTTGGTACTGGAGTGAGTTCAGGAGCCCCAAGATGCATGAGTCCCCACAACAGAGTTCAGATGCCAAAGATCCACAGGCCCGGGTTTCATGAGAGGAAGCCGAGAGATCAGGACTGGAATGGCTTGGCCAAAACGAGTAACTGCTGGCATAGGAAGCACAAGGTCAGTATCAAAAATACTTCAGAACATAAAAGGCTGAGAGCACTAGTACCGAGAGGGAATCAATGCTCCAGCATCGAGTAGTCTTGACTGCAGCCTTAAATAGGAGTCGATGCTCATCAGGGAGATGACCGCCAGGTGTAGGTCGTTAGCGGCCATCTTGGGAGCTGCAGCAGAGCTACTCTCACATTAACCCCCCCTCAAGAATCGCCTCCAGGCGACCTGAGGCGCTTTTCGGGATGTGCTCTGAAGAACGTGGTGATCAGACTTGGGTCCAAAATGAACAAGCGGGGAATCCAGGATCTCTCCTCGGACCGTATCCCTCCCAGTCCCCAAGATACTGGAAACCCCTGCCTCAATATCTGACGTCCAAAATGGTGCGAACCGTGAAGGCGGGATGGTTGTCGATCAGTCGGGCGGGTGGAGGGAGGTCGGTAGGCGGGCACAGAGGACTCTCGGAGACCGGCTTCACCTGAGAGACGTGAAATGTGGGGTGGATCCTCATTGAGCTGGGGAGTTGAAGGCGGACTGCTGTGGGGTTGATTATTTTTGTGATGGTGAATGGGCCAAAGAAACGTGGAGCCATCTTTCTGGGAATGTCCTTCAGTTGAATGTCTCTTGTCAAAAGCCAAACCTTTTGGCCCACCTGGTAAGACGGGGCAGAGGAGCGGTGTCGGTCGGCGTACCTCTTGTTCTGAGCTGCGGTGTGTAGAAGGGCTGCTCTCGTTTGCAGCCAAACGCGTCGACATCGACGGAAGTGGTGCTGGACAGACGGCACCGTGATGTCCGTCTCAAGACTAGGAAACAAGGGAGGCAGGTATCCCAGAGAGGCTTCGAACGGTGACATACCTGTGGCTGTGGATCTGTGGGCGTTGTGGGCATACTCCACCCACACCAGATGTTGAGGCCAGGCTGAGGGATTGTTCTCCACGACACAACGAAGGGTGTTCTCAAGTTCCTGGTTATACCTCTCAGCCTGGCCGTTAGACTGTGGGTGGTAACCTGAAGTCAGACTTGCAGATGCCCCTAGGGTTTTACAAATTGAACGCCAGACCTGGGAAATAAACTGTGGTCCATGGTCAGAAACAATGTCGGAGGGGATACCGTGGATTCGAAAAACATGCTGGATTAATAATTGTACAGTCTCGAGAGCAGAAGGTAACTTGACCAAGGGAATGAAGTGAGCCGATTTAGAGAATCGGTCAATGACAGTCAAGATGACCGTGTTACCTTCGGACGGGGGAAGTCCAGTGACAAAGTCCACCGATATGTGGGACCAAGGGCGGCTGGGTGAGGGTAGTGTTGTAGGAGTCCGGCCGGGGGTTGATTTCCTGTTTTATTGCGGGCGCAAGTAGCACAGGCAGCAACAAAGTCCTTAACGTCCTGGGTCAATGTCGGCCACCAGAAGTGGGACTTTGTTAGGGACAACATGCAGGTAACTCCTGGGTGACAAGAAAGTTTGTTAGTGTGAACCCACTCCAGTACCTTAGCCCTCATGACAGAGGGGACGAACAGGGTTCCGGGGGGTCCCAGGCCAGGGTCGGGCTCCTCCTTGTGGGCATCGCGGACCTCCTGCTCAATGGGCCATGTGAGAGCTCCCACGATGCACGTTGAGGGGACGATATGTTCCTCGAGTTCAGGACCATCTGGGGGAGAGAATTGTTGGGACAGGGCATCCGGCTTGACATTCTTAGAACCAGGCCTATAAGTCAAAATATAATGGAAACGATTAAAGAACAGGGACCACCGTGCCTGTCTGGGGGTTAATCTTTTAGCGTCCCTAAGATAGGTCAGGTTTTTGTGGTCGGTCCATATGAGGAAGGGGATCTCAGTACCCTCCAACCAATGACGCCACTCTTCTAAAGCCAGTTTGACGGCTAGTAATTCACGATTTCCCACATCGTAATTATGCTCGGCTTGGGACAAACGCCGAGAAAAGAAGGCACAGGGGTGTACCTTATTGTCTCTGGGGGATCTCTGAGAAAGAACGGCACCTACCCCAGTGTCGGAGACGTCCACCTCCAGGATGAACTGACGTTCAGGGTCAGGATGGCAGAGGATGGGTGAGGTTGAGAAAAGTTGTTTCAATTTGTTGAAGGCATGTCTGCTTCTGTAGTCCATTTGAACGTTCTGTTAACTAAGGTAAGTTGGGAGAGTGGTGTGGCAATACAGCTATAGTCTCTAATGAAACGTCTGTAGAAGTTTGCAAAACCAAGAAAGCGTTGAAGCTGTTTACGGGTCTCAGGAACGGGCCATTCTACTACTGCTTTGATTTTCTCCGGATCGGTACGATAATGTCCTTCCCCGAATATAAACCCCAGAAAGGAAACAGATGAAGTATGAAACTCACAGTTCTCGCCTTTGACAAATAATTGGTTCTCATATAGCCGCTGAAGAACTGTTCTGACCCTCTTGATGTGTTCCTCCTTGTCATGAGAGTAGATTAAGATATCATCAAGATATACAAAAACGAACTCCCCTAAAAAGTCTCTGAGTACGTCATTGACTAATGCCTGGAAGACTGCAGGAGCGTTAGTGAGCCCAAACGGCATGACTAAATATTCAAAATGACCCAAAGGGGTCCGGAAGGCCGTCTTCCATTCGTCGCCCTCCTTAATATGAACCAAATGATAGGCGTTACGCAAATCTAACTTAGTAAAAATGGTGGCTGATTGTAATTGTTCATGTATGGAGTCAATAAGCGGAAGAGGATATTTGTTTTTGACCGTAATGTTATTTAAACCCCGGTAATCGATGCACGGACGTAGGGTCTTATCTTTTTTGGCTACAAAGAAAAATCCAGCCCCCACCGGGGAGATGGATGGACGAATAATACCGGAGTCAAGTGACTCCTCAATGTACTCCTTCATGGAGTCTCTCTCTGGACCGGAGAGGTTGAACAGACGACTAGCTGGTAAGGGAGCCCCCGGAAAAAGATCTATAGCACAGTCGTAAGGTCAGTGTGGCGGCAAGGACAAGGCTCTCTGTTTACTAAAAACAGGAGAGATATTGTGATACTCAGACGGAATGGAAGTTAAATCAATTTGTTCTATATTGGTGTTTTGTTTGGTTGCATTAGAGATTCCAGAGCGGAGACAGTGTTTTAGACACCTTCCGCTCCATTTCTCTATTCTGCCAAGCTCCCAATTAATGTGAGGGTTGTGGAGTTTTAACCAGGGGTATCCTAAGATTACTTGGTCATGGGGTGAATCGAAAACAAAGAAACTGACGTGTTCGTGGTGATTGCCGGATGTAATTAAGTGTAAGTCAGTGGTGCGGTGTTGGACCTGGGATAGTGTATCACCTGTGATTCCTGCGATGGCAACGGTGGGTATTTTTACAGTGGGTAGTGACAATTCGGATACCAGACTGTGACTAATTAAATTCTGTTCAGCGCCGGAGTCTATGAGTGCATAAACGGGGAAGCAGTTGTGATTACACTGAATGACCGTGGAAATGGTCAATCTACTTAATGGGGAGAGCGAAGAAGTCCCCACCAATATCTCCCTCTTTATTGGTGGGCGTTCTCGTTTCCCCGAAACGGACAGGCGGCAATAAGATGCCTATCTTGGCCACAATAAAAACATAACCCTTGTTCTCTGCATTTTCGTCTAACGTCGGGAGCAAGATAGGTGCGTCCCACCTGCATGGGCTCTGACTCAGGTAAAGTGAGTGAAGGGGGTGACGCGTGGGTAGAATGACTCGGGGTTTTGAAAAACGAAGGTGACTCTTTACCACGGACAATACTGAGTGACGGACCTAAACCGGAAGTGGTGGTACGTTGGGAGTTGTAGTCCCGTTCCCGCTGCCGCTCGCGGAAACGCTCATCGATAGAAATGGCCAGATTAATGAGAGCGTCAAAGTTGGACGGCTCATCCCTAGCGGCGATCTGGTCCTTTAACGGATCCGATAACGCATTTAGGAAAGTTCCCTGTAGTGCCCTCTCGTTCCATCCGGTTTGTGCGGCGAGGATGCGGAACTCGAGGGCGTGTTCGGCTACTGGTCGCTGGCCCTGACGTAAGCCCAGGAGACGTTTCTCTGCGTTGGGACCCGATAATGGTCTGTCGAATATCCTGCAAAACTTGGTAAGTACACTACTAAATGTAATAACTTTTAAATCATGCTGTCGGAGAAAAGAAGTTGCCCACCGGAGTGCGTAACCCTTTAACTGGCTCGTAAAGTAGGTGATCTTAGCGTTTTCTGAGGAGTAGAACCTGGGGGCTCCGCTGAATGCGAGCTCACATTGGAGGAGAAAGCCGTCACATTGTTCTGGGTCACCGGAAAAAAGTTCAGACGGTTTTACCAGTAATTGTGGCTCCGATGAGTGTCTCGCCGAGCATGGGCACGTGTGACTGTTCTGAGGGGTTTCTGCTGCGACTATAGGAGGAGAAGGAGAGAGAGTCTGTTTAATTGAATAAACCATACCCCCCAGCTCCTGTAGATTAGCTTGAGTTTGCTGTTGTTGCTGGATCATTTGTGAGAGGATCTTCTCAAGCTGGTTAACTCGCTCCGTTTGCGACGAGGACGTGGCTTGGTTGTTCCGAGTCTCGTTCTGGGTTTGGTCTGGCTGGAGCATTTCTGTTGTAAGAGCGGGCAACCCAGTTGTAAAGAGACCCAGAACGACACAAGACTCTGGCTACAAAAAGTGATGTTTATTTACAGTGGTTTAGGGAAATATATACAATATGTACAGGACCCTGGAACTGGAACTCCTGGAAGAGGGGAAATAGTTTCTCAGGTCGGGAGCAGGTAAGTGACACAGGAGAATAGGATTTGATATTGCTGTTTCTGTCTTACAGCTTCCTTGGTACTGGAGTGAGTTCAGGAGCCCCAAGATGCATGAGTCCCCGCAACAGAGTTCAGACGCCAAAGATCCACAGGCCCGGGTTTCATGAGACCAGACAGGAAGCCGAGAGATCAGGACTGGAATGGCTCGGCCAAAACGAGTAACTGTGGTCAGTATCAAAAATACTTCAGAACATAAAAGGCTGAGAACACTAGTACCGAGAGGGAATCAATGCTCCAGCATCGAGTAGTCTTGACTGCAGCCTTAAATAGGAGTCGATGCTCATCAGGGAGATGACCGCCAGGTGTAGGTTGTTAGCGGCCATCTTGGGAGCTGCAGCAGAGCTACTCTCACATTTATAAGACTGAGCTGAATATAGCACCTCTGACTGAAGAAGTATTTCGGATGGAAGACGAAATGTTTCTACTTTTTTGTTGTTGTTGTTTTTTTGTTTGTTTGTTTGTTTTTTAAATGTCCAGAGGACCAGACTGAACTTTTTTAGATTTTTCTACCTGGATTATTGAGCATGCATCAGGAATCGTGTGAAATATTAGAATGTGAATAACACATTTCTCTGTTCTGTTTTGCAGAAAGTGATTATTCCTTCAGAGACACCTGTGAAAAAGTTCTTTGAGCTGGAAGCTGTTTTCTTCAGAGGGGAGCCACACTGTTCCCTAGTTAGTCAAAACAATTTTCTCAGAGCTGTTTTTTTGCACAAAGTTGCTTTGTGCAAAAAGCAGTTCGCCTTGGACCCCCGAACTCAGCAGTTCATCTCCGGCCCCGAACCGGAAGACAGTTCGTCTTTGGACCCGATCCTGGTCATAGTGCCAAGGTCCACTCGTTCAACTCCTGAGCAGATAAACATGTCGCTCAAATTACAATTGTTAGAAGTTTAGATAACTGCAGAAGATGAAGCCTTTTTTCACTGCAAGTCTCACGTTCTCGACTGAAGGTTGCGATGGACGGTGCACCTTCTCATCAGCTGTTGCCTTCACAGACCCCTGAAGCTGTCACAGTGACGGTCAGTTACCTTGGGCAGTTCCCGGCAAGTCCTCCTCATGATGTCTCTGGTCTGATCCACCAGAGAACCATGTGCCATCAACACTGATGCGGTAAGGAGCAAAACCTGGTGACAATGATGCAACTCTTGGTCTGGTTAATTCAAAAAATGTTCAATACAAAAACGACTGGACATTATTTGTAACAGAAGACGTTTCGCTCCTCATCCGAAAAAGCATCTCTTAACAGAGGAAGAGGCCTCAGATTTCCACTTTCAAAAACCTTTAATGCAACTTTAAGACAAATTCCCTGTCGGTTTTCACACGTGATGGGAACAGAGGGGTCTCATCTGTGAATTAGAGTAAAAAAAGACCTTAAGAAACCCCTACTGTTAAGATGTTGAGGTCTGACTTGTCAGACATATGTGTGTGTGCCTTATCTCACTCAGCCTTATAACCTGAATCTCTCACTTACTGCTCATTGAATTGAGAAAGCTCCTCGGATGAGGAGCGAAACATCTTCTGTTACAAATAAAGTCCAGTTGTTTTTGTATTGAACTTTTTTTGAATTTACCATGTCCTGGATGACTGAGAATCTTCACAAGCATCTTGGTCTGGTTATGCTATTTTAAGCTGATGCAACTTGGTAAATCATTTCCTGGCTTGCAGTGACAATAAATGACTATCTGATCAGATTAAATAACTTCTTTCAACCAAAATCCAAACTAAACTATTTATTAAAATAGTCAAACTTTGTCTAAACTCATGCGCATATAAAACTGAAATAATTCCTGCTCAAAGAGTCAATTTAGCCTTAGATAAGAGAATTAAGCCTTGATTGACTCATTATTATTGCTTGTTTATTATTATTGTTGATGTTTAGTTTGATCCCCTCCCTGGGCTGCCACCTTACCATGGTGGAGGGGTTTGAGTGTCCCAATGATCCTAGGAGCTATGCTGTCAGGGGCTTTATGCCCCTAGTAGGGTCACCCAAGGCAGACATGTCCTAGGTGAGGGACCAGACAAAGTGCAGCCCAAAGACCACGATGATGAGAAAAACAAATGGACTTAATGTTCCCTCGCCCGGACGTGGGTCACCAGGGCCCCACTCTGGAGCCAGGCCAGGAGGTGGGGCACGTGGGCAAGCGCCTGGTGCCCGGGCTTTTACCTATGGAGCTCGGCTGGGCACAGCCCAAAGAAGAGACGTGGGTCCCCCTTCCCATGGGCTCACCACCTGTGGGAGGGGTCAAAGGGGTCGGGTGCAATGTGGGATGGGTGGTGGCCGAGGGCAGGGACCCTGGCGGTCTGATCCTTGGCTACAGAAGCTGGCTATTGGGACGTGGATTGTCACCTCACTGGTGGGGAAGGAGCCTGAGCTAGTGTGTGAGGCTGAAAGGTTCCAGCTAGAAATAGTCGGACTCACCTCTACGCATGGCTCTGGAACCAGTTTCCTTGAGAGGGGCTGGACACTCTTCCACTCTGGAGTTGACCCTGGTGAAAGGCGCCGAGCAGGAGTGGGCATACTTATTGCACCCCAACTTGGTGCCTGTGTGTTGGGGTTCACCCCACTGAATGAGAGGGTGGCCTCCCTCCGCCTACATGTGGTGGGACGGGTTCTGACTGTCGTTTGTGCTCATGTACCAAACAGCAGTTCAGATTATCCACCCTTTTTGGAGTCCTTGGAGGGGGAACTGGAAAGTGCACCTCCTGGGGTCTCCCTTGTTCTGCTGGGGGACTTCAATGCTCATGTGGGCAATGACAGTGAGACCTGGAGGGGTGTGGTTGGGAGGAACGGCCCCCCGATCTGAACCCGAGTGGTGTTCTGTTGTTGGACTTCAGTGCTCGTCATGGATTGTCAATAACAAACACCATGTTCAAGCATAAGGGTGTCCATATGTGCTCTTGACACCAGGCCACCCTAGGCCGCAGTTCGATGATCGACTTTGTCATTGTCTCATCTGATCTGCGGCCACATGTCTTGGACACTCAGGTGAAGAGAGGGGTGGAGCTGTCCACTGATCACTACCTGGTGGTAAGTTGGCTCCGATGGTGGGGGAGGATGTCGGTCAGACCGAGCAAACGCAAATATATTGTGAGGGTTTGCTGGGAACGTCTGGCAGAGTCTCCTATGAAACTGAGTTTTAACTCCCATCTCTGGGAGAACTTCGAACATGTTCCGGGGGAGGTGGGAGACAATGAGTCTGAGTGGGCCATGTTCCATGCCTCTATTGTTGAGGTGGCTTACCGGAGCTGCGGCCGCAAGGTTGTCAGTGCCTGTCGTGGTGGCAACCCTCGAACCCGGTGGTGGACACCGTCGGTGAGGTATGCTGTCAGGCTGAAGAAGGAGTCCTATTGGGCCTTTTTGGCCTGTGGGACCCCAGAAGCAGCTGATGGGTACCGGCAGTCCAAGCGACATGCAGCTTGGGTGGTCGCTGAGGCAAAAACTCGGGCATGGGAGGAGTTCGGAAAGGCCATGGAGAATGACTTCCGCCCGGCTTCGAGGAGATTCTGGTCCACCATCCGGCGTCTCAGGGGGGGAAAGCGGTACGCCACCAACACTGTTTATAGTGGGAGTGGTGTGCTGCTGACCTCAACTCGGGATGTTGTGGGTCGGTGGGCAGAATATTTTGAAGACCTCCTCTATCCCACCGGCACGTCTTCCACTGAGGAAGAGGAGCCTGGGGACTCTGGGTCGGGCCCGCCAATCTCTATTGCCGAGGTCACTGAGGTAGTTAAAAAGCTCCTCGGTGGCAGGGCCGCAGTGGTGGATGAGATTCTCCTGGAGTTCCTTAAGGCTCTGGATGTTGTAGAGTTGTGTTGGCTTACGCGACTCTGCAATATTGCGTGGACATCGAGGGAAGTTCCCCTGGATTGGCAGACTGGGGTGGTGGTCCCCCTATTCAAAAAAGGGGACCGTAGAGTGTGTTCCAACTACAGGGGAATCACGCTCTTAAGCCTCCCTGGTAAGGTCTATTCGGGGGATCTGGAGAGGAGGGTCCGTCGGATAGTCGAACCTCAGATTCAGGAGGAGCAGTGCGGTTTTCGTCCTGGCCGTGGAACACTGGACCAGCTCTACACTCTCAGCAGGGTCCTGGAGGGTGCGTTGGAGTTTGCCCAACTGGTCTATATGTGCTTTGTGGACTTGGAGAAGGCGTTCGACTGCGTCCCTCGGGGAACTCTGTGGGAACTCTGTGGGAACCCTGTGAGGGGTACTCTGGGAGTATGGGATACCGGGCCCTTTGATATGGGCTGTTAGGACCCTGCCTGACCGATGTCAGGCAGTAAGTCGGGCTTGTTCCCAGTGAGAGTTGGACTCCTCCAAGGTTGCCCTTTGTCACCGATTCTGTTCATAACTTTTATGGACAGAATTTCTATGCGCAGCCAAGGTGTTGAGGGGATCCATTTTGGTGGCCTTAGGATTGTGTCTCTACTTTTTGCAGATGATGTGGTCCTATTGGCTTCATCAGATCGTGATCTACAGCTTTCGCTGGAGCGGTTCGCAGCCAAGTGTGACGCGGCCAGGATGAGGATCAGTTCTTCCAAATCCGAGTCCATGGTCTTGAGCCGGAAAAGGGTAGAGTGCCCTCTCCGGGTCAGGGAGGAGGTCCTACCCCAAGTGGAGGAGTTCAAGTATCTTAGGGTCTTGTTCACGAATGAGGGAAAAATGGAACGTGAGATCGATAGGCGGATAGGTGCAGCATCTGCAGTGAAGCAGGCGCTGTACAGGTCTGTCGTGGTGAAGAGAGAGCTGAGTCAAAAGGCAAAGCTCTCAATTTACCGATCGATCTACGTTCCTACCCTCATCTATGGTCACGAGCTTTGGGTTGTGACCGAAAGAATGAGATCTCGGATACAAGCGGCCGAAATGAGTTTTCTCCGCAGGGTGTCTGGGCTCTCCCTTAGAGATAGGGTGAGAAGCTCGATCATCCTGGAGGGACTCAGAGTAGAGCCGCTGCTTCTCCACGTCGAGAGGAACCAGTTGAGGTGGCTTGGACATCTGTTTAGGATGCCTCCTGGACGCCTCCTTGGTGAGGTGTTCCGGGCACGTCCCACCGGGAGGAGGCCCAGAGAAAGACCCAGGACACGCTGGAGGGACTATGTTTCTCAGCTGGCCTGGGAACGCCTCGGGATTCCCCCGGAGGAGCTGGACCAAGTGGCTGGGGAGAGGGAAGTCTTGGCCTCCCTACTTAGGCTGCTACACCCGTGATCCGACCCCGGTTAAGCGGAAGAAAATGGATGGATGGATGGATGTTTAGTTTGATTATTTTTGTAATAAAACTTCAAAGACAACTTTGGTCTCTTTATTTAGATGAATATTCATTTGTTCTTGTGTAGAACTCCATTTAATTAATGGATTCTACTTCAATGACTGATTCTGATTGTTAAAGGGAGAATATATCAATTAAGTTGTTGTTGGTCAGTAAATTGACCAGCTGGTGTCCACTTTAACGAGAGTTAAATAAATAAAATAAATGTAGTGGAGGGAAGTGGAGGAAGTGTCACCCTTCTTCCTCCATCTCACATCCTTCGTATTGCTACAGCAACGTACACCATAACAAATGCACAGCCCAACATAAAGTACTTTTTGGTTTAGTTTACTTAAACTAAAAGCTAAGTGTCGAAGTTCATGCTCAATAATTCAGGAAGAAAAATCCAACAAAGTTAAGTCACGTCCTCTGAACAGTTTCCTTTTGTTGAAACATTTTGTCTTTCTTCCAAAAGACTTCATCAGTCCAATGAGCCACAAACAAACTCAGTCTTATAAATATAAGTGTGATAAATCCAACTTTGCTGGATTTTTCTACCTGGACTATAGAGCATGAACTTTGATGTTTTGAATCACTTTTCTGCCTCAGGTGAGTTGGTGGGGGAGAGGGCAAACTCCATAAACCATCTTAGTACTGTCAAACTAGTTGGCCCACTATGTAAGGTGCTATTTATAAGACTGAGTTTGTTGTGGCTCCTTGGACTGATGGTCTTTTGGATGAAAGACAAAACATTTCAACAAGAAGAACCTGTCCAGAGGACCTGACCTAACTTTGCTGGATAAAGGCAAAGTGGCAACTCGAACTTGTCACTCAGTGTGAGTGTGAACTATCCA